AGATGCATAAACAAATTGTAGTATATTCATAGACAAGAATACTGTTTCTGTTTGTAAAGGATGAACTACTGGTACCTGCAACATGTGTGACTCTTAAGACACATTTTGAGCGAAGGAAGTAGGACACACAAGAGTGCATATAAGATGTACATACTGCATAAACTATCTATATGGGTTGCGAGAACAGGCAAAACCAGTCTATGGTGATAGATGTTAGAAGGTGATTAACTTGGGATGGGAGACAAAGAATTACTAGAAAAGGGTGGTAGAAATATTCTACATCTTGTTTGAGGGGCCACATTAATACTTTTATTGTAGATAACATAGTTTACAAATGTTGCCCTTCTTCCAACACAAAACAACCTCTAAAAGGGTGGAGGAAATGATTGAGCTTTCTCTCTCCAGCACTTACAGCTAAGTGATTGCAGGGCACTGTGTCAGGACAGACAAGAGGTGGGACTGTGGCATAGGACATTCAGGAGCTTGTATGCTACAATCCTCAGATGTTAATGTCATTGGTGCTCACAGAAGAGGGACGTGAGTGAGGACTGGAGTTGTCAGGAAGGTGTCTGGGACAGGGCAGGACTTGGGTTCAGCCTAGAAAGCTGGATGGAGTTTGGTGAAAAGTTAGAGATTAATGTAGAGATGCCACAGGAACTCTGTGGCTTTCTAGAAACACAGGAGGGTGTACACTGAAAAGTGAGTCTTCCACCGTCCTTGACTCCACTCTCTGAACCCCTCCCACATTCCGCCTGTGCTTTCCGATTCTTGAGTGAACCTATAGAAATAATGAGTGCATAGACACACTGTTTTGTATGGTTTCCTTTTTAGCTCACAATTGAGATGAATCTATTCCATATCTGCACAAAAAGATAACCATTTTTTCTGTGACAACATTGTATTCCAGTGTATGGATTTAACAGGGTTTTTAACCATCTCCTTATTAATGGACATTCTGGTTGTTTCTAATTTTTTGTTAACATGATATTACTCAGATGAACATCCTTGTGCATAATCCTTATGTACTTTTGTAAATATCCCTGTAGAATAGTTTTCTTAAAGTTGTTGCTTAAAGGTTATATATTTTGAAATTTGACTAGTAAAAAAGCTATTTATATACACTTTTAACAGAATGTAAAAGAGTTGCTATTTACCCAAAGTCTCATCAATATTAGATACTATCACTCATTTAAAATTTTATCCAACTAATTTTTGACAAATTTCTTGTTTAAATCTGCAGTTCTTTGATTACCATTGAGGTTATCATTTGGTATGTTATTAGCTGTTCCCATTTCTTCTTCAATGAATTTTCTATTTTTCTGTAGCTTGTTCATCTTCTTTTGTATGTGCTCTTTCTATAATATTTTAATGGTGTTAACGTTTCTATATCATATGTTGCATGTATTTTTCAAGTCTGTCATTTGTTTTAACATCATAGTGTTTTTCATGTATAGTCATTCCCAAAGTCTTATATAGTTAATTTGTTAATATTTTTATATATTGTTTCTGAGATTTGTATTTTGCTTAGGAAGGCCCTTCCCCTACCCTGATGATAGCAAAATAGTCTATATTTTCTTCTAGTGTTTTTATTCTTTCCTTTACACACAGACACACCCATCCACCCACTCATTTAGACTCTTAATCATTTGCAAATTTGTTTTTGTCTGGTAAGATACATGGTCTGATTTGTTTTCTAAAAATAGTTTCCTTATTGTGTGGATATCATTGGTTGACTAGCCTCCAATAGAAAATGCAGTTTTCATCATAACTCTGTGCTCATATATGCATGGGTTTGATTTCGAACCGTTCTTTTTGTTTCATTGATTTCTTTGTGTTACTGTCTCTCTTAGAACCCCATTATCTTAATTCCTGTTACTCTGTTATATATTTTCTTGTCTGTTAATGCATTTCTCTTGGCATTATTCTTTTGGGGAATTTTATTGGCTGTTCTTATGCCATTGTTCTTCTAGGTGAACTTAGGGTCTACTTAAAGTTTCAGACACATGTAGCATATCCCTTTGGAATTTTGATTGGCTTTGCATTGGACTTAAAGATTTTTAAGGTGACAATTTGACAACATTGTAATTTTGAGTCTTAGATCCATCTGTCTATCTAGTCTATGGTTTGAGCCTTCTCACTTTTAGCTCCCAGATACTTCTTTGGTCTTTGTCTTTCTTTCATGCCATTCCCTCCTGTGCACTGAGCTTCTGAAGTAGCCCATTAGGTGGTCTCCTTGTGACTGCTATGGGCCTTCCCTCTTCTGCATCTTTGCATGGGCTGTTCCAGGGCTTAGACTACTCCCCGGCTGGCCCCTCCTCACTCAGTTAATTTATCCTCATCTCGGTTGTCATTTCCTTAAGAAAACCTCCCTGACCTTCCTAACTGGGTAAAATTTCTCATTTACAGTTTCATGGCACCCTTTGTCCTCTTCTGAGTGTTCTATTTGTAAGTTTACCTTTGCTATGTCCTTGGAAGGGGAGGGAAGCTTTCCAGGCATGGGAGGTCTCTAAGTGCAGGGGGGCTCTCTGGGCACAAGGCTGTGTTCAGTGTTGCTCACTTCTGTAATCCCCCCCACCCCTTGCGTAGTGCCTGGCTCAGAGGAAGTGCTCTTTAATCCTTGTTGATGTCAGTGAGCTTGGTGTTTCCCTCTATTTATGTCTTTAAGTGAAGCCTTAATAGTTTTCTTTGTGCGGTATTGTACACTTCTTGTTACGCTCATGCCTGTAACGTTTTCTACTTGTTTTTGTGCTGGTAGAGAAAGCTATTGATCTGTGATGTTCTTGCATCCGGCCATCTTGTTTAACTGGGAACTCTGTTTCCTGCTGATCTCTTGGTTCTGCGTCCCTCTTCCTCCTCAGGCTGGTTGCAGCAGTCCTGAGCCCCACATCTGACCCTGGCAGTTTTCAGAGGAAGAGAGAGTTGCCTCCAGGAGCTTTGCCAAGAGTAAGGGGAGCTTTCTGAGAACCCCCTAGTGAATGAACCTGTGCTCAGTGGCTGGAGCAGGGTCCAAGGCCCATTGCGGACCCAGCCTCTGGTGAGGGTGTCACCAAATCAACAGAGCTCCGTCTCTGTGACCTGTGGAGTTGGGGGGCTGACTCCCTGCCCCCACGGCTGCTGGGGTGAGGTGTGTTGGGATTGTGCTAGAAAGGCGGCAGGGGCTAGTGGCCCTGGGTGGGAGTCTGTGTGGACATCTGTCAGTATGGTCGTGTGGCTTTTCCCCATCAGCCTCACTCAGCACCTTGATAAGGTTGTGAGAGTTCCTGATGTTGAACCATCCCTTCCGTCTTGAAGTATCTGCTTGTGTGCATTGTTCTTTGAACATACCGCTGTGTTTTCATCTACTAAGATTTTTCTTGGAATCCTTTTGTCTGTAGTCAGAAATGAGATTTGTCTGTGTTGCAAAAAGTCTTTTTAAGAATGGGAGTTAATATAGTGGAAAGACCCTAGTATTGAACATTACTTAGTTCCTCTGTGACCTTGGTCAAGTCACTTAACCTCTCTGGGAAAATTTCTTGTGTATACAGTAGTGATCCTAGCCCTAAATACCTCAAGCTGTGTTAAGGATCAAATAAGATAATATATATATGAAAGCTCTCTTTAGGCACTAAACTTAAACAAAATTAGAACTTTGTCTCACCACGTATATTCAGGATTTTTGAATTTTTGTGAGTTTCTTCCGATGAGGAGATAGGTCCAGAGAACATTAACAACTAAGTTCTCTCAGCTTTTTTCATAAACCTTAATCAGAAAACCACAGTTATGTAGACGAGAGGCACTGGGAACATGATTGGTAAACATTACATTATTGGTGTTCAGATATTAGGTTCCTGCTTTTCATAATATCCTTAGGGTACTGGGGAAGATTTGATATTTTCTGAGATTGCTGTAAAATGCAAGTTATTGCTGGTACCATCGCCCAATTATTCTGTACTTATTTTACTTAGACTTTAGTAATTGGAAAAAGATTAGATGTCAGGACTTTGCATTTTGTTGATTATATTAGCAAAGTCTTCTCTTTAATCATTTCTTTTATTCCTAGTATTAATCATTAGCTTCGAGCTGTTAGGAGAAGAGCCTAATGGTAGATTCCTAACTTAAAGGAAAGAAATAATTACTTTGGTTTCGGTGGGATTGGACAAGTGTTGATATACCTACAAATTGAAATGAATTCTTTAGCCGTTCGAGGCACGGGAATGAGCTGCTCAAGGAGACAGTGCAGGTCAGACAGAATCAAGGCCCAGCGTCCCCACCCTCCGTGCCTGATGGGCCTGTGCCTGCCCTGAGGAGGCCCTGGACCCTCCCGGCCCCTCTGCCCTGGTCAGCTGGCTCTTCCTACCTGCAGGGTTAGTGACTACATCCTCCACTTGTGTTAGTATACCCCGAAGACTTTGTTGACCTTGGTGTGTATAATATGGCTACATCCTTAATTAATGTTGTATGAAGATAAACTTATCTCTGTGAAACAATTTCTTTCAAAACCGATGCTGAGAAAACCACCTCACATAGGTATTCTTAAATAACCAACGGTGAGAGTGAGACAGGAAGGGAGGAAGGGAGGGAGGGAAGGTAGGGAAGAAGGGAAGGAAAGGAAGAGGACCAATTAAAGTGGCCCCTTTGGGGAAAAAGCTCTCAGGAGGGGAGCGGGGAAAGGGAGAGAGAGAGAGAACCAGAGAGGAGTGTTGGAGGGAATGAGGCTGGACCTCACTGAGGGAGGAAGGGTCATGGTGCCTCACCTGTCTCAGGGTGGCTCCAGGGACACAGGGGTACCCTCTAAGATTTCAGTGTAAACAGGTAACCTTTTGCTTGGTTGGAATAGCATGGTAATGTCCCTCCTGTCATAAATCAAGAGCAATCAGTATCTGATATTTTTGCTATTTAGGTTAATTCTAGTTTTCATTTATGGGGCTCACTGTCCCCTAATAAATTGGGTGGAATATGTTAAAGCGCTGGGGGAAGTCTGCTAACCCTTTTTTTTGTTTTTTTTTTTTTTTTGTTAACAGAGGAATTGCGGAAGCTGAGCTGGTCTGGGATCCCTAAGCCAGTGCGTCCAATCACGTGGAAGCTTCTCTCGGTGAGCCTCCTGTCACTCATCACTGTGGTCTTCTTCCTCCTGTGAGTCTGGCCTGAGTCTGGCCCATCAGCCGCAGCCCAGACATTGGCCCTGGCTCTGCTGCCTGGTGACACAGGCCTTTGCCCCGGCTACGGTGACAATTCCTATTCTTTGCTTAATTTCAAGCTTGGTTGAACAAGACCATCAGAAAATGAGGGTGAATAATCATTATGACATCTGTATTCTTTTTCTCTGATTTTATTATTTAAAAAAAAACTTTATAATTTGTTCTAACCTGTGATATAAGAAAGGTTCCAGCATAGAAGATTATTTCAACAGGGAAATACGTTTTAAGTATGTTTCAGATACTTTGAAATGTGTCAAAAATAAGGAAATGTGTTTGACCAGGTTTTTTTTTTTCCTCCCAAAGTATTAGTAATGATGTTAGCAAAGAAAAAAAAAGTTGATGTTAGAAATAGTTTGTGTTTCTGTGATGGAGAGTGGGGTTGTGGCTCCCCAGATCCCTTTCTGACCCCTGCCAAGAACACCGGCTGGGCAGTGGTGGTCATTGCACATCCTCGTGCACTTAACCCCGGCTTAACATTGGGAATGGGGTCGGCCCTGCTGCACGTTCAGGATGGTTTGTACACAGCTTCCTTCTCTTTTCCTGTTTTATTGTTTTTGGAGCCAAGTCATTAGGGAACTCTAAGCGTTTAGTCTAAATTGGGTCTGACTTTCAGTATTTAAAAGACTCTTTCTTGCTAATGAGTCTTAATAAATTTGCAGCTTAGTACCTCGTAATCCTAAATGTAGATGCAGCTCTGAACAGTGAATATTTATTGATTAAATATTCTCTCGCAATTAAAATTAGACCTGCTGCGATTGTTTGGATTTTTGTTTTGTGTTTTTTATTTTAATCCACTTTTCCAGTTTATATCCAGTTTTCAAATGTCCTCTAAGTTTTGATGAAAATACCTTGAGGATCCTTTTTAGCAATCTTAGGTTTATTAAGGATGTGCCATGTCTGGGAGGAAAACCTTGTGCGGGAGTTATTTGGTACTGTTCTCTTCCCTCTGGTTCAAGTCTCTGCAGGTCATGGATTCGAGGCCCTGCTGTGTGCTACACGGTGGTTGACGTGGAAATGGACATGCTGACTTCAGTGGACAAAGGAGCAGAGTGGGAAATACCGATGTCCCCACTCTGCTGGTTGTGAACGGGAGGACTGTGGGTATGGGGGAGTCTGTGCCAGGAATGCAAGTGAGAGAAAACCTCAGGCACGTTTATTCATTTAATCATTGTGAATTATAGGGGCCTTTGCTCAGAAGACAGATGAATTAGACACTAGCCTGCCGTTAGGAGGAGGTCTGGGCGCAGACTCTCATGGGATGATGGCAGTGCCACGTGGGACTGCTTACTGTGGGATGTCCAGGACACGAGTGTGAAGCAAGCTGAGGGGGAGTCCAGCGGCATGGGAGGCAGTTTAGTGCTGAGGATCAGCTTCCTGGGAGAGGAGACTTCACACCTGGAGTCTGCGAGGCCATGGTAGGGGTGGGGTGGAGAAAGGGGGAGGAGGGAGGATTTGCAGTCACAAGGGACAGAGATGAACATGGTAGTTCTTGGCCCTATTTTGGGCTTGGGTTGGCAGATAAGTAAAAAATAAGAGTCTGGTCAATGAGCAAAGCCTGTCCTTTCAAACGGGTGTGTTCCAAGAAAGGGGCCGGTGATTCTAGGGGACAGCAAACTCATGAGGATGCCAGGCAAGGCTCCTTGGGGAAGGTAGTGTCTTATGTGGCATCTTGAAAGGTGTGCCATTGCTCTCTGGGTGAGGGAGATGGGAGGTCATAAGAACCAGGGATGCAGCAGGGATGGAACAAGCAGGGGCAGAGCTGGGTGAGCGGGCAGACCGTGTGGGGAAGGGGACCCAGGGGTTGTGGGGACCAGGGGGAGGCCAGGTGTATACCTCACCCCCACTCCCCATTGCTTGGCTTTTGTCCTGAGGACTTTAGTGGGGAGTGATAAGGCTGTGTTTTCTGGAAAAGTAAAGCCTTAAAAAAATCTGTTGGGTGGTTAACCCTTTACTACTGAGCACTTTGTGTGTCTCAGGCACTGTGTTGGGTGCTGGGAAACAGCAGGGAAAGGAAAAGATGGAGTCACCCCCAGGTCCTGCAGAACAGACCATAGAGTGCCTGCCTTTCTCTGTCATCCCTCCCAGTATAGACCTAGGGTCTTCTTGCAGGGAGAAGGAGCCGTTCCCTCAGATCTTGTTCCCGTGCCCCAGTGCACTGCTGCCCCGTCTGTCCTTGTTGAGTGCTCGCTGGTACCGGACCGCACACACTCGGGAGAGTCCATGCTGTGGGAGCAGAGTGTGTTCCGAAGCAGTTCTTAACCAGCGTCTGGCATGTAGGAGGAGCGGTGCTGGGCGTGAGGCGAGGCTGCTCCCCACTGGCTCTGGGAAGGGACTAGAGTTGGGGCACAGGGCACTGGGAAGGAGGAGGGAAGGGTTCAAGGTGCCAAAGGGACTGTGGCAGCTGGAATAGGAAGCCCACCTTGGTTCTCTCACAGGGAACAAATGCTCGTTGTACCTTTGCCATGCTCCATGTCCTGAGCTGAGCAATGTTGTCATCCATCCTGCGTAGGGAGCGCTGTTGCGCTATGGTGCTGGGCTTCCAGGGGAAGGGACCCACCTGGTTGACGGGTGCTGGTCAGATACAGGAGTGGTCTGGTGGAAGGTGGTCAGAGTTGTTGTCTATCATCTTTTCATCCTCCAGTTGGTGACCCAAGAGCTCGCTTATGAATCTCCTTCCTTGTCTAATGGTTACTCCCAGGCATAGGCAGCCGCAGCATGTGTTCTGTAATGTCAGAGATTTGGGGAGCATAGTAAACGATGCTTGTCACTTGTCCCTGATTCAGCAAGTGCTTCCACACATCTGTCCTTGGCCAGGCCCTTTGCAAGTGATGGGGTCACAAGGATGTTTTGGAGAATGGTGGGAGAAACCCAGCCAGCAGTTCAGGGCTGTGGGAGTGCAGGGAAGGGCCTGACCAAACAGGGCTGCCTCTTAGTGGTTCTCTGAATCCTGCAGTTTCAGCCTGGCCTCCTATTTGACTCTCCTGGAGAGCCTTTGAAGACACATGTGTCTGGGCCCAGGAAGCAAATTGGAATCTCTGGAGTGAACTCAGGCATCAGGGTTTGGGGTCCAGGGAGCACTTACCCTGCAGTTGGCTGGACACAGGGATGTAGGGACATGGGACATTTAGGCCTGCCCTCTCCATGTGTGCTTTTCCATTGTGGTTGCATGTTAGTATCACCTGGGAGCTCAGGAAATACTGTCACCTAGGTTCCTGGAGGTTCTCATGTGTGCGAGGGTTGGAGACCACTGCTCTAGGGCACTTAGGCTCCACACGGGACATGGCAGGGCACTCATGAGCCAGCTGGGAAGCAGGGCACTGCCCTCCACTGGCAGTGAGGCCACACTGAAGGCAGCACACACCTGGGCTGGGGTGCCTGGATAGGACAGGTGGGCTGGGGTGTGGGAGGGGATGTGTTGGATGAGGGAGGCTAAGGAAGACTCGCTGAGAGCCACGAGCTTAGGTGGGTGGGGTAGGAGGGGATTGGCTTATCCTAATCCCTGAGTCCTTCCAGGACCAAGAGTTTGAGTTACACAGAATCAAAAAGAATTGATCAGTTGGCCAGTTTGACTAGTTTGAAAAGGCAAATAACCAAAGCTGTGCTTGCATATGAATCTATTCCAGGCTCTGACAAACTAGTGACACTTTTTCAGTGTGTTTATGATATGTCACTAACATGAACCTTGTGGTTATTGAAGAGCATTATTTTTAATTGGTGGATAGGAAACGCTACTTTAGCGAAGAAAGATGAGAAACATGGCTCTTGTCACTTGTGAAGAACTAACATACTCTAGAACATAGCCTTAAACCACCAGTTATGCTACTTAACATTTAAATTTATGCAAGCAGGTTAGTAACTTTTAAAAAATTAGTACTGGAGAGAATCATATTTTTGGCTATTTAGAGATGGAGTCTCATTTCGTTGCCCAGGAGTGAGTGCAGTGGTATGATCATAGCTCACTGCAGCCTCAAACTTCTAGGCTCAAGGCATGCTTGCACCTCAGCCTTCCCAGTACCTAGGACTACAGGTGTGTGCCTCCATGCCTGGCTAATTTTTAAAAAATTTTTCATAACGATGGGATCTTACTATGTTGCCCGAGCTGGTCTGAAACTCCTGGCCTCAAGTGATCCTTCTGCCTTAGCCTCCCAAAGTTCTGGGATTATAGGTGTGAGCCGCTGCACCCAGCCTGGCTCTTTTCTTAATAGCTATTTCAGAAACATTGAACAAAAACTAATTAAACATTTAACATTTACATTAGTGAGTATAGTGGCTAAAAATGATAAGTGGAACTCCAGTATCATCTTTTATTCTTCCAATATATTAAGGTAGGTTTGCATATGAACATAGTGGGAGGGAACAATTTCATTTTTGTGTCACCAGGACAATTCAGATATAAGTATATGCATGCATTGTTTTACATTTATGATTAGTGTTTTTATAGCATGCTAATACAGCAATTAAGTTTTCTGTAGTTCTATCATTTAAAATTCATTGCATACTTGAATATATTTAATTTGCATAATTTCTAGTCTTGCTTAATTATTGAAAGGCCTCAACTTGCATATGTGTGTTTTCCTTTAGGATTGGCAGTGTCATGAGTATGTGTGGGGTTTTTATTGCCTGTGCTCTGATGACATACTTGCCTTTTAGAATTTGTGTTTCAGTAAGTGAAGTTAAAATTTGGGGAATGGGAAGCGTTTCTAAGAGTTCTTGTTCATGTTCGCCACATGCAGTTGGTGTCAGGCTGCCCACCACTCCCTGGCTGGCCATCTTTGGTGGCCCTGCTGCCTTGCATTGAATGCTGGGACCCTGGGTGGGCACACAGGGCCTTCTCTCCTGGTGGCTACCTCAGCTCCATGCTCAGTGTCGGCCAGACTTTGTTTAGGGCCTTGTC